AATGAATTTTGTTGAATAATGCCAAAACTATTGTATATTTGGGTAATTTGGGCTTTTTAAAAACTACATATTGTATGTCCTATAGACCATAAACTTATTGTATACATTTGATAATTTCCCTATTTCTGGCAACACTGGTTTTGAGAAGAAAAAAAGCATTAAGCTTCTTTCGGCTACTCCCTCCTGCAGGAGTCACCACAGAGCGCAAACCTGCATGAAAGATTTGGCAATTGTTTTACACTGGTTGCCCTTTCTGACGCAACCTGGGTTCGAACTAAGGGTTGAACGACTACATAATTTTTAAACTCGACATTAACATAATAAAACTCGAGTAGAACTCGAGTACTTGATGATATCATAGGATCTACAGATACAAAAATAAATAAAATCGCAAAAAAGGTCATTATTTACAAAAAAGATCAACAAAACATGGGGAGCGTATATTGTGCTCCTACCATTAATCATACAGCAAATAAGTCACAGGAAAAACTAAACTATTAGTTGTTATTATTAAGCTGCAAAAGTAAAAGAAACGTGCATCAAGTCAAAAACAAAACTAAAAACAGTGGGGCGGACGACCACCCCGCACCACCGCCAGCTGTGGTGCGCATTAGGTTTAGTTTTAGAGAATAATATGGTTATATGTTTTTATAGGTTTAGAGATTCATATTTTTTGCTTTTTGTTTGTGAAACAAGGTCAGAGGAAGCTGGTTCCGGTTCGGTCATTGGACCTGGTGTTACACCATATTCTGTGACCTTCAACAGTGCATGCAACACCACCCCCTACGGTCACAATATACGGTGGTCACAGAATATGGTGTAACATCGGTTCGCAATGAGCTCCAAACAGTCAGGAAGTTGATTCATTTTCTGTTTCCTTACGGTAGTTGAACCAGAAGATTCATCTTTAGTGAAATATTTTCAGACTATTGATGCATTTCTACCTGTTTGCCAAGACTGGACCTGCTCCATTCCATCTGTCTGCTTGGAGGAATCCATTTTGTAGCTTCTACACCGCCCGGTGCGGATCACGTGACGCAATGACGTAACGGCAACGTAATGACGTCACCACGAATACTCGACGTGAAATAAAAAACTCATCGGATGTCCTAGGAATCGATGTGTAGATTACTCAAGTAGTCTGTTAAAGCCCTAGTTCGAACCTGCAACCCCAAGATTATAAGACCGCAGCACTGTACACATAATACACCTGTCCTATCCTTATTTCATTTTAAAGTTGTTTTATCATGCACTTTTTTGCATGTTTTTGTCTCTGTGTTGAGACGGTGTAAACGAGACTGAAAGCTATTCACATTCGCACTCGGTGACAGTTTAGAGCAGCCAGTTAACCTGGCATGCATGTTTTTGGTCTGTGGGAGAAATCTGGAGTACCTGGAGAAAACCCACGCATGCCTGAGACGAACATGCAAACTTCAAGTAAAAAGGCCCCAGCCAGCACGTAGTCGCCTTCGTGCGAGACATCTGCGCAGACCAACTGTTCCACCATATAAAATCGTAAACTAGGGAAATGTGAGGCCAAATGGAAACTAAGTGTAAATGGGGAGCAAAACGGCAAAGTGTGCAAAGCATGGAGGAACACAGACATGTGTTGCTGCCTTACACAGCCGTTCACATGTTTTTAAATGTGTGGTCATCACTCCTTCCTTCCATGGTCATTTTCCTTTTTCATTGTGTAATTTCTTATCCCTAATTTTTTTATCCTGTGTTCCAAAGCTCAATGGGACTAAAAGGCTTGCTGGAAAGCATGGTGCTGCACGTGGAAACGTGACTTTTGGCAGAGCTGCATTCCCACATTAGCTCACTCATGGTTATTCTTGTGCTGCAGTGGAACATACTGTTATATCATGCCAGGAGCAGAGCGTCGAGCCCTTCGCTGCATGTGATTCCAGGTGTTTAGTCTAATGAACATCTTATCAATGCTGCCTCAGCCGTTCTTTATTTGTACCATTTACGTTTACCCTATTTCTTCCTAAGCTGGTACAATTTTGTAGTTTAAACATTTGATAGGCTTGTTTTATTGTGAATATGTTTTGTTTTAGTAGGTTTTGAAAGTCATCGCGTTCTGTTTTTATTTTCATTTTACTAAGTTTCCCAACTTTTTCTTAAAATTAAGAATGTATTATTTTATGTTTTGATTATAAAGTGTAGATCACTCACTGGAATGGAGTTTTAATTGCCTTCGTTTCCAATCAGGGAATAAAAAAAAAATGCAAGTTGATGAAAGAATGTTATCTTTGAACTCCTGTCCAGAGAACTCAGATAAAATAATCATAAACAGACCTTCAGCTCATTTGCAGAGCAACTGAATCACATAGTGACATAAATTAGTTTTCTTTTAATGCAGCAGGAGGTGTTTCCAGTGTGGAAAATCTCTGCTCTGGAGCCTTCTGCCAGGCGCAGCTGGTGGTAACCACAGGCACATTTACTTGTCTTCCTTAGTGTTAAAGTTATTTAAGAAAAATCTTCAGGCCAAATACAAGGAGCACATCAACATTTGTGTGGAAGAGGAAAGGAGGAATATTCCATTTGACTTTGGTCTCTAGTTATGTGCATCGATATTAAAGGTGCATCAATGGGGATTTTTTTTTGCTGTTATTAAAAAAAAATGGTCCTACCTCAAGTTTTGTGGACAGAAGTGTATAATAGTTCCAATAATAGTTGTCGATAAGATAATTCTGATATAGATTAGTTGAATATTTGAAAAAATAAAAGCACATTTTTGTTTGTGAAGCTGAATTTTAGTTTTGTATTTGTCTTGTTTCGAGGGGCCTAGAGCCCATTTTAGCTGTCAGCAGGAGGTGGGCTGCATCCTGGTCAGCCCACCAGTTCATCACAAGACCAGTTTAGAGTCACCAGTTCTACTAGCATCCATGTTTTAAGACTCCCCCTGCATCGTGATGTGTAGAGGTCCGAGGTGGTGGTAAGGCTGCTCCCCACTGTCTTCTGTGAACCTTAACCACCCTCTGCAGAGCCATCCTCTCAGCAGCAGCAAATCTTTAATGTGACATCATGTTCAACCATCATGCAATATTATAACGGTCAGAGTACGTGTTATGAATTGACTCTCAGCTACTATAGATGCTGAGATATCTGTAAAAATGACACTGTTACAGACATTTTTTCTGTTTTCGAAGATTGGCTGTCTGCAGCAGCCACATTAATGCTCCGTTTATGACTTTTAGCAGCGAGTGATAAATATGAGACCAGTCACATTGGACTGAGGATTGAAGAGGGCCGGCAATGGAGGAGGGGGCGTGACAAAGAGACCATCTTAGCATCAACATAACCGGTTTGTTCCACTTTGGAGTAAGCTGTTGGGGAAGAATCAGTTTTGTGTTTCCTTGACTGATGAAGCCTTCCGGATCGAAGACGAAACGTTTCAGCACAAAAAAAGAAACTGTCCAGATGACCTGACTGAAAAATGTTGGATTGTATACCTGGATTATTGAGCATGGACTTTGTTGACTGAGGACTGAATTGCAAGTGAGATATCCAGCTATTATGCATTGGTTGAAAAAATTCTTGCTAATTGGATTTTGTTAAAATAAGATTAACAAATACCTTATCTCTGGGTACCTTGAATGAAATGTCCCGAATATAATCCCAAAGAATGTTTTGAAACACTTTTATGGAAAGTACCAACAAACAATGATGATTTTGAGCAGAAAAGCTTTGCTAGAGAAGCTACTTTGAATACCTGCAGGGAATTGGTAAATGGACTGCACTTATATAGTGCCTTTCTATATTATCAAGATACTCAAAGCACTTTGCAACACAATCTGTGCCCTCATTTACCCATTCACACAGCACTCATAGATCTATACAAAGAATAATCAGTGCTTTATCGCATTCATACACCGATGAGACACACATCAGAGGCAGTGAGGGGTTCGATGTCTTGCCCAAGGACACTTCATTATGTGACTGCTGATGGAATCGAACCCCCAACTCTTGCATTGGAGGACGACTGCTCTAACCACTCAGCCACAGCCACACAGGGAAATCCTAATACCCAAAACTGTTTGAGGTTTCCTCTTTCAAATCATTCAAATATGGAAAAAATAGGATTTTTAGGGGCGATCCAGATTAGTAAGACAAATCAAACCTTATCTTTGCACCTGCTTATGAAATCAGGATGATCTATAAACTGTAGCTTAAAAGCCATGAATTGGAAAATGTGCTTAGTTTATTTTGATTTTTAATCCTTGATTTGATGTGATGGGTCCCAAATTCAAATACTTGCTTTTGGAACACTCACATAGTAGAATGTAGCAATCCTTAGAGAGCAGAGCTGTTGCTATAAAGTGTCTCCTGGCATTTAATGTAAATATGGAACGGAGTCTGCCAACGTAAAAAATAAATTCTCGAGTGTTCAATAAAACTCAAACCAGTTCCTGTACACTTTGGTTTGTTGCTGTTTGATAAGGAGGTGCTAAAGAGGGCAAGGTGTGCAGATCAAACATCTGTGGTGAGGCCGGTTTGAAAAAACGAGGCTGACACACTCATGTCAGAAATGTCCTCGAACAACTCTCGGTGGAGTGATATTTGACATCTGTCCAGGAGACGGGAAGACTTGAGTCCTTTCTGACCTCACAGAGAACTTTGTTTGGGAAACTATATCTTTATTCGTTTAGCAAAATGGATGGGAAGTTACATATTTTGTAGGTTTAAATCAGTGATGAGATCAACTAATGCACAGCCTGTGGAGTGAGATTTGATATTTTCCTTGGTAAAAAATTTAAAAAGTGGTGGGGGGGGTGTAATTTCTTGGCTCAGTTCAGACACTTTGTTCACAGTGTATCAGAGTTTTTCCGCTGAGAGCAGCTTTGAACAGTAACGCGACCAGCAAATGAACAAACTCACAGGCAGACGCGTCTGATTCAGTAGATTGGATGTCTGAACGCAGGCTGGTGAGATGTGCAGTGTTCTGTTATTGTTATCAACAATGATCACCACCCTTTTTCCTCTCCTCTCCCCAGAATAGTTCGTGATTATCTGAGTGGAGCTCCATTTTCTTCCTACCAGGAGTCCATGTACTTCTCTCGCTTCCTGCAGTGGAAATGGTTGGAAAGGTGGGCACGAGCTGCAAATGAAGCAGGAATACTCCTTCGTTTTCTTCTTCCCTTCAGGACTTTGTGTTTTCTCCCCCCCCCCCCCCCACCCCAACACACACACACACACAATTAACAAGTTGTACACAGTAGATATTTCTGTTGCTCCCTGCTGTGTTTTTTCATTTTAATATCTAATTTTTGTCCTGCCAAAAATGAGAAGTACTCAAAACAAATGGCAATAATTAATGGTTACATGACACAAAGATGAGTATCATTGTATGCTTGAAAAACAAAAAAGTTGTTGCTGTCAATCAATGTTTTCTGTAAAAAGTTAATAATTGATGATGCTTTGCAAAATGTCTGAAGGGAAAAAAAGCCTGTTGGAAACATCGGTCATCAGGGTGGATTAATAATAAATTAGACCATTACTCTTTGTGCAAAATCATGTGGCCTCTGAAAATGACATCAGCTATATTAAGTTAGGTCTGTTTTTTGTCTCTATTAATACTTTTCTTGTTTTTTATTTTTATTTTTGTTTCATCCCTGCAGGCAACCAGTAACCAAAAATACCTTCAGGCATTACAGAGTACTAGGAAAAGGTGGATTTGGCGAGGTGAGTCTAAAAAATAAGTTCTGACTAGAGAGATGCATTCACTGTAAAAACGAAATGTGAACGCTGAGTGACTACAGACATTTGTTAAAGAAGATAACTGATTTGTTATTGCTAAAAAAAAAACTCTTAATGCTAAAAGGAGCAAAAATGTATCTGAATGTTTAGTGTAGCAAAATAATTAAAAGCCAAAAGTAGACAAATAGTAGCTAGATGCTACAAGTAGCGTATTTGCTTGTTAGATGCTAAAAGTAGCAGGATAAAATGGGAAATGGCAAGCTAGAAGCTAATAGTAGTAGAACGATGGCTAAAAGTAAATTGGTATCTAAAAATCAAAAGTAGCTAAAGGCTAAAATCTAAAAGTGGCTATAGAATAGCTAGAATCTTATAGTACGACTGGTCTGCTGAAAGTAGCAGAACAGTAGCTCAATGCTAAAAGTAACAAAATACTAACTGAATGCTAAAAGTAGCAGAATGGGTTCTAAAACCGAAACATAGCAAAACCGTAGCTAAAACTTGAAACCAGCAGAATGGTAGCTAAAACCTAAAAACAAGGAAAGGCTAGTAAATAGAAGCAGAATGGTAGCTCAAAATTAAAACAGGCCAAAGGCTAGCTAATAACAAAAAATAGCAAAAGGATAATAAAATCCTAAAAGTAGCAAATGGCTTGCTCAAAGAAGCAGAATTGTTGCTAAAAGTCAAAAGTAGCAAAAGGCCAGATAGAAACTCACAGTAGCAAAAGGCTAACTAGAAGCTAAAAGGAGCACTATTGTATCTAAAGGCTAAAACTAACAGGCCTATAACTTAAATTAGCAAAATCTAATTAATAGCTAAAAGTAGCTAAATTGTAGCTAAAATCTAAAAATGGCAAAACCTCTAAAATGAGCAGAATGATAGCTAAAAGCTACAAATAATGGAAAAGTAGCTAAAAGCAGCAAACCTGGACAAAAGTAGAACAATTTTGCTGAAGTAGACTTCAAACAGAACAATGTTTTAAAATAATTCAAGAGTTTATTTTGGATTTCAATTGTAAAAACTTTTGTGAATAAACTTTAACAAAGTCAAATCATCATTTTTAGATATGATTGGCTAAATCATTGCAAATTATACACAGTTCATCATAAAACAGAAAAGCAGTGGTATGAATGCTGAATCAGCATTCACAGAATAACGTTCTTACATTTTCTGTAGTTTATTCTTTTATACAAACGTTTGTTTCCTCTTAAGTCATGTTGGCTAGAGAAGGACGTTATGGCTCGTCTCAGCTTTAGTTAGTTCAATATTTTAAAGCATCTCCAATGTTTCTAATGAGATTTTTATTATTTTTGTTATCGTTTGTCAGGTTTGTGCCTGCCAAGTACGTGCCACCGGTAAAATGTACGCCTGTAAAAAGCTGGAAAAGAAACGGGTGAAGAAAAGAAAAGGTGAAGCAATGGCACTAAACGAAAAACGCATTTTAGAAAAAGTTAACAGTAGTTTTGTAGTAAGTACTCCTTTTTTTCTTATTCATCTTTTCATCTGAATTACTGTTGCATGTTTTGTTTGCATGGATGACCTGGATGAGAGATTTGTTGTTTGTGGCTGCAGAAAAAAATCCAATGGGATGTTTGTGAACGCTGTTTAAAGTTGAAGCAGCAGCTTGAGATTTAACTTTGTAAAGGTGCTATTTATACGACAGATTTGGTGGCAGGCCTCAAAGTCTTTTGGATGAAAGACTTTCAGCCAAGAAGAATCTGTCCAGATGACCTGCTTTAATATTTTTATGATCATGTGTGATAATGAACTACGGTTTTATATTATTGTAAGAACTATTTTGATCTTAAGCTGAATCCATGCTTTTATTTTGATGGCACGAATGCAATCATTTACATTTTGGATTTTATCTGCGGCAACTCATCAGCCCTTATTTGTTTATTCAGATTTGGACAATTTTTTTCTCAACAATACAGATTTTATTAGATTAATCATGTGAGGATAATGATATTTTTGTATTTTGACCAATACTTCATAGATTGTGACCTCATACATGAGCACATTTACTATCCGCTTGGCTCCCAAAACTTTAATTTTTAAGTAATTGTTTTATTGTGGCTTTCAACCTTTACTGTGATGAAGTGAAATAAAAGCAGAAGAGACAGGAAAGTTCACACCCAAGTCTAAATTTAACTCAACTTCTTGAAATCGGTGATGGTCACCCTGCAGTCCCTTAGCTAAAAGAGTGAAGACTTTCTTGTAATCTTTTGAAGTAGTGCTGCTGCTCAACCACAAATGTTTTTTATTTTAAACGTGGCACCATTTAAGGGGAATATTCAGGCTTTCAAATGATCTAAGAGTTATTTCTAAGAATCGTTTCAACCAAGAAATGAACACCCAAAGACAAAGTTCCTCTCTTTTTATGCTATTTTTCAAATGTGTAAGAGGTCTAACATGGAAAAACAGTCTATAAACTTCTCATTTAAACCTTTTAGGGATAAAGCGTTTATTTTATATATTGTTCAAATTTGAGAATTAAAGAGTTTATATTGTAAATTGTGGGTAAAGAGGGAACTAGGTGAAACTCTGTTAACCAGTCGGTGGTGGTCAGGAACTCTGGGTAGTTACTGAAAGAACGAGATCATGGAAACGAGCAGTAGAATTTAGTTGTTTGTTTTTTTTTCTCAGGGTAGCTGGACTCTCCCTTTTTTAGAGACATGGTGACAGGTTCAGTTATCTGGGAGAGACTCCGAGTAGAGCCGCTGCTCCTCCACATCGTTAGGAGTCAGTTGAGGTGGTTCAGGCGTCTGTTAAGGATGCACCCTGGACGCCTCCCTGTTGATGTGAACCGGACATGTCCAACTGGGAGGAGACGCTGGGGGAAACCCAGGACACGCTGTGGGGGAGCGGGGGCAGTGACGGGACTGTCAATCAGCTGGTTGAGTTCTTCCAGAAAAATTAGAGGTGGTTGTGGAAAGACACGTCTGATTCTCCATATCCAGCTGCTGCCTCCTGGATCCAATTCCGGAACAAGCAGAGGATGGATGAAAGTTTCACTTCCCATAATAAATTACTGTAAAAGTAAAAAAAAAAGTGTTGTGCTGCTTAATATAAATACATTAAAACATGTACAAGTAAAAATATATACCGGTAAATACCGTATTTTTTGCTGTATAAGTCAGTTTTTTGCATAATTTGCATGTCCTGCGATTTATACGCTGAAGCGACGTATTTATGGATTTTTTCCCCATATTTATAAACCAATTTTTGGCTGAGATATGACCGTTTTCATTCATTCTGACTGAAAATTTTTTTGAACACTATCGTTTTTCAGCCACTAGATGGCACTCGAGTAGTGCCGTTGTATCATGTAATAAGTAAAAGTGGATATTAATAACACAGTCGGCTTGCCATAGACTGCCACTATCGTCTACCTGGAGCAACCAAATCAGCTTTATTTCACTGTGCTGCCTCGGTGAAATGCAGCTGATTTGACCGTCAAAGTGCATTTACTAAGTAAAAGTTCAACTGAGACACCTTTACTATAAAGTTGAGCTAACAAATAAGTCTTTAGGTGTTTAGCTATTTAAATTTCGAAGAAATGGACAGCGAGTCACCCTCTGCGTGTCCACGTTTCTGCGTATTAGCTTTTGAAAATGCAGCTGATTTGACCGTCAAAGTGCATTTATTAAGCAAAAGTTAGACTGAGACACACCTTTGCTATAATTTCAAGCAAACAAATAAATGTTTATAAGTGTTGATCTTGTTAAATTCTTGTTAAAGTCCTTCTGTGCACGCTCTCACGGCCGCCATTTGGCAACCATTCGATTTTTGGTACACCAGCCCACATTTCCGGGTTGTCAGCGGTGACACATAATAGATGCAACATATACGGTGAAGCGACATTTATGGATTTTTCCACTTTATTAGACATATTTGGACTGATGCGACTTATAGGGTGGTGCGACGTGTATGGCGGAAAATACGGTACTTGTATTTTTGGAAATAAAAATATTTCTTCAATACAGCCAATCAGCCAATCTGGATCCAGATAATGCTTCATGTTGGCCCAGATCCAGACCTTTACAATACTTTAGGGTGCATTCACACCAGCCCTGTTTAGTCCGCTTTAATCAAACTCTAGCTCGTTTTCCTAGAAAGTCCGGTTCGTTTAGGGAGGTGTGAATGCGCCATCGAACTCTGTCACGGAACAAAAAGGCGAACTCTGGCCCGGGCTAAAACCTACGTCTCGGTCCGGTAGAAGCGAACTCCAGCGCGGTTCGAGTACAGTGTGAATGTAAACAGACCGAGCCCCGCTCCGCAGGGTAAACAAACACGCATTGCTCTTACCTTATATGGAGCCGTCAGCTGCCTTGTGTGGAAAAACAATATTCTCCATGGTCTTCTGTCTCATCTTCTGCTCATGCCAAGTTCATTTTTGAAAAATGACAAAATAGAACTCCTAAAACTGCTAAAACTTGATGCCACTTCATTTTTATTTTTATTTACAGAAGAAGAAGAAGACGTGTCTTCAGAGGTTTTTGTCGTTTCGTTCAGTAGTTCTTGGTGCAGCGCCCCCACAGGCAAGCAGGGGAATAGTTTGGTTCTACAGGTTGACTCGACTGCACAGTGCAGTGTGAATGCAAACGCACCAGCTCAAATGTAAACAAAAGGTCATGAATATTGGTCCTGAACCGAGTCTACCGGACTATCTGGTGTGGAAATGACCTTACACTATTAAGATTTTCACAATTCTGGGAATAATGGGGCTCGAGTGAGGCTGTCTGACTGTAGCAGGCCTGTGATGTTGATCCGTAGGACCGTAACCAGGACCAAGCAGAACCTCGTCTCTGCTCTCCTCATGAAACTAATGGTTCTGTTTGAGTCAGGCTAGTCCATTTCTAATGCAGCGTGAGTTATGTTGCGTGTCCTTGGTTTGAGTGAGTCATGGTAGAAGCATGCGAATGAGCATGCATGTGCACGCGCACACACTGAGGATGGAGTGGGCTTGTTACTGAACATCAGACTTTCAGCTCTTGTCACCTGGGATTGGCACATGATTCTGTGTTCGCTCTCCGTGCTGCAGGCAGAACTGATGACTCTTCATGCGCCTCTCTACCTACAAGAGCAGCTCTGTTGCCTAGCAACACTGACCAAACAGCAGTCGTGAGGAGAAGAGTCAAGTGCTCTCCCAGAGCCCTCGTTTCTCTCGTTCTCACCGCTGTTCTCCACTGTTTTTGTGATCAGTGCATACTTTTAGTAGATGCATACCATTAGCCCCCGCTGTGTGTTTCAGGCATCGAGCTGTCCAGGTTGTCTGCGTGTGGGCGGGTACACGGACGTTTCAAACACAGAGCACGGTGACCCTGCTTTGAAACCTCCAGAGAGTGAAAATGAGGTAGAACTGCATCACTCTGATGCAAATTTGTCTCATTATCGTTTTGATTTTATAATTTTTTTTAAACATTTGCTGGGTTGTAGCGTATTCGTGTTATTAAAGTACTGGAATTTCAAACTTCACACAAGTACAGTACACAGAATGCTTCATTAAAAACCGGAGAAGTAAAAGCACAAAGGTTTGCAGTACTAGCTTACTTTTTTACACGTCGACCGTTTAGGCTCTGGCACTACCTTGTTTTGCTGCACAAAGAGGCATCAGGGGTGGGGACACAGAATGCTTCATTAAAAACCGGAGAAGTAAAAACACAAAGGTTTTCAGTACTGGCTTACTTTTTTACATGTCGACCGTTTAGGCTCTGGTACTACCTTGCTTTGCTGCACAAAGAGGCATCAGGGGTGGGTTTGCTTTGACCCCCACTTTCGCTGCTTAGGTCTTGTCAGAAATTGCACCGAGGTGATCAGAAGACGTCTCGATTCCCAGACTGAGGTGTCTTGTGAAAGAGCCCAAAGAGACTACTATCTCCACATGCCGTTCTGTTTTTATTTTTAATTACAGAATAAAATATTAAAATAAAACTATAAATGAAACAGAAGAATGTAAAATTAGTACAAATAAAATAAAAAACAATAACAATTAATTCATTTTAAATGCTGCATTCAGGTAAAAATAAATATAAAATAAGAATAGATTTTTTTTTAAATTGTCACCTGATTTGGGATTTAATCCAATTTGATGTGACCAAGTTGAAAAATACTTATGTAGTTTAAAATAACAAAGTCCATGCTCAATAATCCAGGTATACAATCCAACATTTTTCAGTCAGGTCATCTGGACAGTTTCTTTTTTTGTGCTGAAACGTTTCGCCTTCGATCCGGAAGGCTTCATCAGTCAAGGAAACGCACAACACAAAACTGATTCTTCCCCAACAGCTTACTCCAAAGTGGAACAAACCAGTTATGTTGGTGCTAAGATGGTCTCTTTGTCACGCCCCCTTCTCCATTGCCAGCCCTCTTCCTTGTTGACAGTCGTGTCAAACTGTGTCAAAAGTGTCAAAGTCTTTGACTTTGTTGTTTTCAACCAGTTGTTCAAACTGTTCAAACCGTTGAAAAGTAGCTTAAAAGGCAGATAGAAGATTAAATTACCAGAAGGAAGTGGAGAGAGCACCGTTTCGCAGAATTAGGCTGAAAAAAGTTGAAATGAGTGCAAAAAATGTGGAATTAGCTGAAAAATCTTAAATTAGCATAAAAACAGTTATATAATAGTTGAAATAGTAGACAAAGCTGTAACTTGCAGAAATAAGCTGAAAGAAGCACAAAATGTTGTAGTTAACAGAAATAATATGAAAGGAGCACAAAACAGCTGAAATTAGCTGGAATAAAAGTTAAAATTTGCACAGGGAAGCTGAAAGAAGCTGAAGCAGAACAAAATGTGAAAGGAGCAGTAAAAGGTTGTAAACAGATCTAAAGATTTGAAGGATGTAAGAGAAAAAAGTGGGAAAAAGGCTAAATATTTCAAAAAGCTAAAGTTGCACCAATACCAAAAATCATAGTAGGGTTGTCCTGAAAGAGCTGAATGTTTTGATTTATGATTTGTTGAAATAGCACAAAAATTGTAGAACGAGAAAGTTGCTGAAAAACCTACAGAAGAAAAATGGTTTACAATAGTGTGAATGCTTCATAAACATTCACACAGTAAGGGCATTTGTTGATCTGTAGTCCATTCTTAATAGATATTAACTAAAATTATCAGTATGTTCTGTTTACTGTTTTACTTGAAGGCTGTAGTGTTGAGGACTTTTAAACTTCTTTTAAAGTTTTGGGTCAGGTAATGATTTCCATGTTAACACTGAAGGTTGATTTACCTTAAGCCCATAAACGTAGAAGTATTTTCAGTATAAAAGTAGATATCAGTACTTGAACTTGTGTTTGTATGCACACGACAGTCTCCAGATGAGTTCAAGCAGCAATTGTTAGTAAAAGTTTACAAAAAGGAAAAAATAAAATCCATTTTGGAGCAATTCTGCTCGAGGATCTGAAGATATAAAGATATTAACAAATCAATATATATATATATATATATATATATACATATTTAGATTTTGTCCAATTGGTACAGATATTTTTATGAATCTTCTGCGTATTAGTGCTAACATTTACAGCCTCTAAAACTCACAGTTCTTTAAAACTACCATAGCCTGATTTATTGTTTAAAACCTAAAATAACATAGCCTAAATTTATACAACTGTTTTTGAAAGACTAATTGTTGGAACATAAAATAAAAGACATACTATGCTATTTGTTGCAAGTCATTAGTTTGAAACATTTGAATGCATTAAGCAGCTGTATAAACTCTAGAAGGATGAATGTAAAAATGTTTTGTTGCGTCTACTAATGGAAGTCAGAGGAAAGAACAAAAAAGGTCGAATAAAAATATTTGCAGAAACTCATCGTGAGATTTGTTGTGACAGGTTGAAAAGACTAGACTTTTGTCGTTTCCCCTGCTTGTTGTGAAAATGTGTGCGTTTGCTCAAGAACAGCATAAATGTTTATATGTTTGTGTGTTTGTTTATCGACGGTATATATGTTTGTGTGTTGTTCGCTTGGTCTATAAGACGATTTTCTGTCCTTGTGGTTTCTGTGTGTGCACACTTCACAGCAGATGGGATTCCTCCCGTTGGCAGCAACATCCTGCTTACAACAAACAGCACCACATGTATACACTACACCCTGGGGGTCAGTGACAGGAGAGGGGGAGTGGAGGGAGGCTGGTGGGAAAGAAGGGAAAAGAGAGGGAATGATGGTGGGATGAAAGTAACAAATCTACATCTCAGTTTTACTTTGTGTGCATTCTTGATATTTGCTAAGGATTATGTTTGGTGGGCATGAAACATACTCCATCCACTGCAACAGCTATTTCCTGTTTTTTAAACTCCCCTTCTTTCTCTGTTGAGGCCATCATATATGTTTCTCCCCTTTTTATTTTTTGGTTTCACTCCAAACCTCGCAGACACTTCCCAAAATCTGCCTTTCTCCTCAGGTTAGTCTAGCATATGCCTACGAGACCAAGGATGCGCTGTGCCTGGTGTTGACCCTAATGAACGGTGGGGATTTAAAGTTCCACATCTACAACATGGGAAACTCGGGCTTCGACGAGCAAAGGGCCATTTTCTACGCCGCAGAGATCTGCTGTGGGCTTGAGGATCTGCACCGCGAGAGGATAGTGTACAGGTGAGCTAACACGACGGTCAGAGAAGTTATACACTGAGATTTAAGCCTCTTTTAAAAACAATTATCTTTTGATGTTGGCATGTTTTTGTGTGCAAGATGATGGGATGTAAATGAGCACTACACTGATTTTACACATTAATATCTGTGGACTTCTAATTATACCAGTAATCAAAAACTAGAGAAATTGCATTTCCTCCGAAGATGCAGTGTGAATGCTTATTGCTGAAGAACTTGCTGAAAAACAGCTGCAATTAGCTAAAAACATGCTGAAATGTAGCTGAAATTGAAGAACAAGCCTAAGTTAGTAGAAGAAAGTGGAAAAACCATATTTGCTGAATTTGGTTTAAATAAGTAGAAATGAGCACAAAAATTAGTAAATTTGCTAAAAACAAACAAACTGAAATTACAAAAAAAAAATAGCTGAAAAGGCAGAAAGAAGCTTAATTTACCAGAAGGAAGTGGATAGAGAGCATAATTTTGCCCAATTAGGCTGAAAAAGCCAAAATGAGCACAAAAAGTGGAAATGATCTGAAATAAGCAGAAATAAAAAAAAACATAGCTGAATAGTAGCTAAAAAAATCAGAAAGAAGCTTACATTATCAGAAGGAAGTAGAGAGAGCACATTTTTGCGGAATTTGACTGAAAAAAGTTTGAGTGCAAAAAATGTGGTTAGCCGAAAAAGCTCAAATTATAAAAACAGCTAGATAGTAGCTGAAATGGCGGAAAAAGTTTAAACTTGCAGAAAAAAGGTGAAAGGAGGATAATAAGCTAAAATTAGCAGAAAGAAGATAGAAGAAGCCCAATCATTTCATAGTTTGTAGAATAAAGCAGGAAGGAGTGCAAAACAGCTGAACTTAGCTGAATTAATTTTTTAATTTGCAGAAGGAAGCTGAAAAAATCTGAAGCAGAACAAAATGTGAAAGGAGCAGTAAAAGATTGTAAACAGATCCAAAGATTTGAAAGATGTAAAATGTGCTCAATTCATTTTCTATGAGATAAAAAGTGACAGAAAAGGCCAAATATTTCAAAAATCTAAAGGTGCACAATACCAAACATCATAGCACTCCTGAACGAGCTGAACATTTTGATATATGATCTGTTGAAATAGCACAAAAATTGGGGAACAAGAAAAATGTTGAAAAATATATGGAAAAATGGATCACAATAGTGTGAATGCTTCATAAACATTCACACAACTAGAGAATCTGCATTTTCTGTAAAAGGAAAAAAAATCATTGTGAATAACTGAGTCTTGAAGGAATGCTAAGATTTGCTGAAGTTAATACTGAGTTGTTAAAGTAAAAACATTTAAAACAGAAGCTAAAATGACCACAACAAAGATTAAAATCAGCAAAACAAAGGCTAAAATGAGTATAGCACAAGCTACAATCTAAAAACGGTTGGAAAAATGTAAAAGACTAAAAGCAGAAGAGCAAAAACTAGACACTAAAATCAGCAAAACAGTAACAAAAAACAGCAGAACATTTGCTAAAGAGAAAACTACCCCGTACTTAAAACGGTACTCAAAACTGATGTTAGAAAAGTTTTAGCTATAAATAGCCAAACAAATTCTAATTTTAGACTAACAAAACTGTAGCTAAAATCTAAAATGAGCTAAACTGTAGCTACAAGTAGCACAAGAAGACCCAAATAGAGCTACTATAATAATAATAATAATAATAATATAATACTATATTAAAGCAGATTTCAGATAGATCGGCCTCAATGTATTTCTAAGGGGATTTTTTTAATTTATATAAATATTACCAATATAAACATTTGTCAAGGAGTTTATTAAGTTTTATTTTAATTACCTATAATTTCAGAAGTACTTTCTAATTTATTATGTTTTTTGCAGAGACCTGAAGCCTGAAAATATCCTTTTGGATGACCGTGGTAAGTCTTTTTATTTATGTTTACTGTAGCCATTTTCAGAGCAGAATTGCTTCATATAATTTAAAACACAAGAAAAACTAGTTGTTTTCTTAATCAAAAATTTTCCCTCGTTACTTTTTTGATTCTCATAACTTGTTTATTTTGTGTGCAAGTGGTTTTCTATCCAAGTTGCAAACAAGTGCATATGTAAATGTAAATATTCATCATTATTTATTAAATAATCTGCGGGTCTTGTTTAGGACACATCAGAATTTCTGACTTGGGCCTTGCTGTTCAAATCCCTGAAGGGGATACGATACGAGGGAGAGTGGGGACCGTTGGATACATGGGTGAGATCTTTTGTCTTTCCTTCTTGTCCTTTTTTTTTTTTTTTTATCAGGATATTTATCCTATTTAAAAAAAAATATTCCAAGCATTTCCTGAACAGCAAAACAAAATACTCTGATTCTCATCTCGCTTTTCCTCAGCGAAGTTTTGAAACAAATTTCATGTTTTCCTCTCGTTGCTTCTCGTCTCCACATCAGCTCCGGAGGTTATCCAGAATGAGAGCTACACCTTTAGCCCAGACTGGTGGGGGCTGGGCTGTCTGGTCTTTGAGATGATCCAAGGCCAGTCGCCCTTCCGCAAGCGCAAAGAGCGAGTCAAGCGGGAAGAGGTGGACAGACGAGTGCGAGAAGACCAGGAGGAGTACTCCGATAAATTCTCAGAGGAGGCAAAGGACATCTGCAGACAGGTGAGAGAGACGAAACTGACGATACTTGTGTCCAAAACAAAGTGTATAAATTAATTGTAGTTTATACCAGTGGTTCCCAGCCCTGGTCCTTGAGGAACACCATCCTGCATGTTTTAGTTGTTTCTCTGCTTTGACACACCTGATTTAAATGAATTGGTGCTTAATAGGCATTGGCAGAACTTCAGGAAGTAATAAAATAACTGAATCAGGTGTGTTGGAGCAGAGAAACAACTCAAACATGCCTGATGGCGTTCCTCATGGACCAGAGTTGGGAACCACTGGTTTATACTTCTGCACCGCTCTGCACAGAGATCAGCTGATCAGCTGCAGCAGGAAGTTTATCTTGCAGTAAGGGCTGCACCGAGGCACAGGAGGAAGCTTTTTCTACAGTTATGGGCTGCACAAAGGAGCAGCAGGTGCTAAATAATTTAAAATAATTTATTTTAAATAAAAATTCCATGCCACTCGTGCGCTCATCCATCAATCAGCCAATTGTGTGTCATGTCCAGTCATATTTTGAAAAAACCGCGGTAGAGCAAATCCGCGAATAAACAAACTGTGAAGTAGTGAGGGACCACTGTACTCTCAGAAAATAATAAATATTCATGTTCAACAGACTGACTTTTGGTCTTGACTTGATTCAGTCACCACAGCTAATCCACATTAGCCAACACGTCGGCCATAAATGGTTATAACTCAGTCCGTTTCACAGATACTGAGCTAAAACTTGGTGTGGTGGTAGCTGAGCATGATCCTCAACATGTACTCTGAGGGATAACACACCAGACATGCATCATGTCATTTACAAGGTGCAATCAATCAACTACAAGTCTGTCATTTCTCGTCATGAGAGGAGCTTAGTCTTAAACTCCTGCATGAAAGGTGGCGGGCGATATGCATTCCTTGAAGGAAAGCTAAGCTTTTCATTTGGTTTGAGTTTATGAACTTGAATGAATGAAGGATGACTATGGTACTTACAAATTTTATCAATGGTTTTTATAAAATGAGGGACTCCACAAAATCAATTTAGAATTGTTAGTACTGGTAGTTACCCAACAACAAAAAAAAATGTTTCTTAAACAGACTTTCTTTTGTGCTCTCTTTTAACAAGAAACATACCGAGCCATAAATTATTTGCCCGGGTCCACTGGACAGATGTTTTGAAGGTTCTGATGTTTAAATCTTTTCTTTCCGTCCTCCTGCTGCGTCTCAGCTCCTGGCCAAGGACCCCAAGGAGAGGCTGGGTTGTCGGGGCTCCGGGGCCACAGAGGTCAAGCAGCACCCCATCTTCAGAAACGTCAACTTCAAACGGCTAGAGGCCAACATGTTGGATCCTCCCTTCATCCCAGATGTAAGAGAGCCCCTTCCTCACACACACACACACAATCCCCAAACAGACACACTACATTCAGCTTTTCAGTCCTGCAGATGAGTGTGCAGGAAATGCCATTGTCGACTAAACAAGCACACGTTTCTCACCGCACTAGCAAGTGGGTTTGGTGTGAAGTGGAAATGTAACATTATTGTCGCCTGTTTAGACGCTTGGTTTTTATTAGAATCCTCTGCATTGCCTCCAACAGTATTTTGATGAATAAAAATAGTTGATTCATGAGGTTATACAGTATAAATTGAGTTCAGCTAAATCTAAAAGTCTTCAAGCTTTTATTTTGTGTTGTGTTTTTGCGCTGCGGGGGTCATCCGAGGTGTTCACGGGGGAAGCTGTCACGTTCTTGTCAAAATGGGGAGGGGGACTGACGTGAGAGCTTAAATCAATACTTGAAAGTAGATTGTGTTATCGGTGCTTCTATTTTTATTCTGTTTAGTAGCTGAAGAACAACAGAGCAGCCTTTTGGTCACGTTACTCAAATAGCCGTCTCGATTTTAAACGTTTCAGGTTTCCCCGAACTGTCTGAACACTTTTTTTTTTTTTCCAATTCTGGATTTCCCCCCTCATTTATTCTTATTTTGCTTTATTTCCCTCTTTCTGCATGTCTCTCAGCCTCGAGCCGTGTACTGTAAAGACGTCCTGGACATCGAGCAGTTCTCCACAGTCAAAGGTGTGAACCTTGACCCGACAGATGATGACTTCTACCACAAGTTTGTCACAGGCAGTGTCTCCATCCCGTGGCAGAACGAGGTACTGTGTGCAGCACTCCCGTATAATGCCTACGTAAATTACTTCTTTAAGGATTAATGTCCATCTGGTGGGCTAAGAGATATTTTGCTAACAGACAAACAGCTGATTCCAACAGTTAAGGCTAAAATTTTAAGCAAAGATCTCTCACACTAGGAGGCTATTTTGTTAATGACTCTTAGCTGATGCCACATCAGATTTTAGCTTCATAGTTGTTAAATTTTTGGTGTTTTAGCCTTTTTTTTTCTCTAAGGCTAGTTAGCTGTGTCGGCCATCTTGATTTAGGTTGGCTACAAAGGGCAATGAATTGTAGAGGTTCATCCTGTGATCATTTCCTGAAAGTTCATAAAAATCCATCCTCATGGGATATTTTGCTAACAAAGTTGGCTCCAAATATTTTAAGAATTTTTTTATGCAACCTGTTAGCCAGAAAGGGTCAGTCTCATTTACTATCGCACTAAATATTAAGTCAATATCTGCTCAGTTGACTGAATACTAGCCTTGTTTAAGGTCATTTAGCGGCAGCAGCCATCTTGAATGTACTCTACAAGTTAAACAGTTGTAGATGTATGTGCACTGATTACTTGCTGAAAGTTTTACTAAAGTTTGTCCAGTGGTTCCAGAGATAGTGTAGTAGCTGACAGACAAACACAGAAACAGCCACGCTTTTATTCGCCAAAAACGCCCGAGAGTTGAATTACGGAGGGGAATTTCTAATTCGTGCTCTTCTTTGTAGATGATTGAGATGGAGTGCTTCAAAGAAATCAACATCTATGAGACAGACGGGATGCTGTGCCCAGACCTGGACATGAACCGGCCAAATCCTCCTCCAAAGAGAGGCTTCTTCTACCGCCTGTTCAGAAGAGAGGCAAGTGCTAGTTCTCCAGCAACTGTCCGAGGGGGTGGGGGCTAAGGTACTTCCTGTTTTCCTTCTTTACTGTCTTCTCTTTTTATTCTCCTCTGGCCTTGTCCAAACTCAGCATGTGAAATGAGAATTTGTCACGTGGAATCAGAAGGTTCCTTTTTGCTCTGCTTTGACTTTGAATAAGGCCTTTTTTCTGTCTTCTGGGGCTGAACAACCAACCCTTGTTGATACTTTCCTGTCTTTGTTACTTTTCCACACTAGTCATGTTTTCTTGTGGGAAGCTGATCTTGCGATATCAGGAAAACTGATTCATAAGCTTAAAAAAAAGAAACAACCTCAGCAATGATAGCAGTAGTGACAACTGTCACTATTCAGATTACTTTACTTAAATCTCAAGTTTTTTAAATGCTCTTTTAAACCTTTATCCCTCTTGCTCCCCGAGTTAGATTTTCCTAATATCTTTTTGAACGCTGGCTCATGAGAAGCCTTGGAGTTGATACGGCACACTGTGCTCTCAGTAATCAGCTGAAAAACAGATGTTTTAACTGTACACCTCTGATTTATCGTACAGTGTCTCCCATCGTTCCATGAGTCTGTCTTTTGAGTTGGATAACTTGAAAAATAAATGAGGAACCGACTTCCACTTTGGTGTGTGGCTGCATCTAGGCATAAGAAAGGTCATTATAGAAAATTGGGTTGACGAGTCAAAATCCAAGGTGGCAACCAACACCATATATACACTACATTGGCAAAAGTATTCACTCACCTGCCTTGACATATGAGCTTAAGTGACATCCCCATTCCTAATCCATAGGGTTCAATATGACGTTGGTCCACCCTTTGCAGCTAGAACAGCTTCAACTCTTCTGGGAAGGCTGTCCACAAGAGTGTGTTTATGGGGATTTTTGAACATTCTTCCAGAAGCGCCTTTGTGAGGTCACATACTGATGTTGGACGAGAAGGCCTGGCTCTCAGTCTCCACCCTAATTCATCCCAAAGATGCTCTATCGGGTTGAGGTCAGGACTCTGTGCAGGCCAGTCAAGTACATCCACGCCAGACTCTGCCATCCATGTCTTTATGGGCCTTGCTTTGTGCACTGGTGCACAGTCATGTTGGAAGAGGAAGGGGCCAGATCCAAACTGTTCCCACAAAGTTGAGAGCATGGAATTGTCCAAACTGTCTTGGTATGCTGAAGCAGTCAGAGTTCATTTCACTGGAACTAAGGGGCCAAGCCCAGCTCCTGAAAACAACCCCACACCTTAATCCCCCCTCCACCAAACTTTACACTTGGCACAATGCAGTCAGACAAGTACCGTTCTCCTGGCAACCGCCAAACCCAGACTCGTCCATCAGATTGCCAGATGGAGACGTGTGATTTGTCACTCCAGAGAACGCGCCTCCACTGCTCTAGAGTCCAGTGGCGGCGTGTTTTACACCACTGCATCCGACGCTTTGCATTGCACTTGGTGATGTATGGCTTGGATGCAGCTACTCGACCATGGAAACCCATTCCATGAAGTTCTCTGTGCACTGTTCTTGAGCTAATCTGAAGGCCACATGAAGTTTGGAGATCTGTAGTGATTGACTCTGCAGAAAGTTGGTGACCTCTTCGCACTATGTGCTTCAGCATTCACTGATCCCGCTCCGTCAGTTTACGTGGCCTACCACTTCGTGGCTGAGTTGCTGTCATTCCCAAACACTTCCATTTTCTTATAACACAGCTGATAGTCGACTGTGGAATATTTAGGAGCGAGGAAATTTCACGACTGGGTTTGTTGCATAGGTGGCATCCTACCAGCTCCATGCTGGAATTCACTGAGTTCCCGAGAGCGACCCATTCTTTCACAAATGTTTGTAAAAAACAGTCTGCATGCATAGCTGCTTCTTTTTATACACCTGTGGCCATGGAAGTGATTGGAACACCTGATTCTGATCATTTGGATGGGTGAGCAAATACTTTTGGCAAGGTAGTGTATATGTAAACTGGCCACTCCAATCATTTGAGGAAACAATGCTTTCTATGTGTAACAAGGTTGAGTCAGGACCTCTGGATGGATTCTTGTTTGTGGAAATGTTTCGTCTTTTATCCAAAATACTTCTTCAGTCCAAGATCTTGTAACAAGCTCAGTCTTATAAACCGCTTGTATCTGACTCAACCTTGTTAGAAATGACAGCTCTAACAGAGACTAGAGATTGACCAGTTCACCCCTTCTTAAACTGCTTACATACTTACATACAAAGTACTTACATGCACAAATATACGGCCAACTGACCTTTAGCCCATCGCCCAGCCCCAATGTCCAAATGCCAAAAGTATCAAGGATGTCGGAGGTGTGAAGTGTGCAAGCGGGTTTTGCTGTTTCAGCTTTGGCATCTTTCCCAGCTGCAGTGAGGCGGTAACGAGTCAACACATCCAGACATTTATTCATTCAACCTTTATTTAAACAGGTTAATCCCATTGAGCCTCGGTGACTCATTTACCTGATAGACCATGACAGACCTGTGTTTAGTAATTTAGTATTTGCTAAAACCTTTGTGGAGTGGTGGGCGACGCTGTTTGGGCGGGATCAGGGCACCCCCTGTGGATGATGCCAGGGGGAACGCAGATTATTAAAAAAAAAAAAAAAGTTTAATCGTTTGGCATTTTTGAACATTTCCGTAAAACTGTAAACTGGGCAGTGTTGCAGAACCGAGCTTAAGGTCGACCCAGCAAGGAGACGGGACAGCAGCTGTGAGAGGACTGCGTGATGAAACTTTGCTCTTTCGTTTTTGACTTTCTCGCAGATTTGTCTTAAGAGTGGTTACAGCGACGACGAGATCGAAGAGCCTTCGAGACTTTAAACCACTCCCCTCCGCCCGCACCCCTCCGCCGCTGATCTTCACCACAAACTCCAACCGAGCGAGAAACTTAGGAACTCAGTGAATGTCGACCTGTATTTATGAGCTGTATTAAAAGTGTATTATAACTAAAGAAAAAAGTATGAGTTTAAAGATTTTGTACATTTGCACTTGAATTTATGTCTAGATGTATATTTTCACTAAAGGTTGTATTGTACAAAAAGCCATAAAAGTACCACTTGAATGCATACATGATGTTTTTACATCCTTTTGAATCTTTTTCATTTGGAATGGGTATGGATAAGGTGTACTAAGGAGTTTATTTTAAGAAGCACAGCACCAGTCATCTTTTTTTAAAGTTTTTTTTATTTTTTCTCCATGTAGCATAAAGCTTTCTTTCTTTTCTTCACATGTGCCGTATGTTTTGTCAGCGATTTAGCCAGCATCATGTGTTTTAGCTTCATTTGATCCCAAACTCACACTTTGTCTCCAAATACCCCAAGGCTCAAGTAATTCCTTAAACATGTAGGTCCAAAAGTTCGGGAAAGAATCTCTAACTCAGTTCGACTTTGCTGCTGATGCTGCTTCAGCTTTCCCCAGATGTTGTCCAGATGTTTTTCATGGGAACTGGTCGGCTCAAACCGTTGTTTTACCCTGAACTGAATGGCAGGTGTAGTGAACAGTCTGCTTGGTTTCAATTCATCCTGGCTGAGATACTTTTTCTCAACATGGGCAACTATTCTATAAAACACAAAAGCAAACACTCGAGAGGCCCCTTGTCTGTCTCACAACTTGTGATCCATCATTTCTAGAACTTCGTACCCATTTCCTGAGCTGCAACAGATGTGGAAAATAAATTCTAGGATGCCTGACGGCGTTTTCAATGTGAGCGCAGCTGCTTTTTTTGTTTGTTCAGCTGGGATATGTTTGTGCTTTTATTTTGATAGTATACTCTTACAATCTGTTTTGTAATGGCATGGTTTATACACGGACCCAAAATAGTTTTCCTTGAATTCCTTTAGTAATTTACCGATCTTGGTTGTTTTTGTTGTTGTTTTTTTTTCCAGACTGCCTCAAACTTATCAACAACAAAATGTTACAATATCCTAATAAATGACCCTTTTAAAGGGTTTAATAATGGTTTATGAATTTGTAAACATTTTTAAAAACTTTTTTTAAACCGTTTTCAAAGCAGGTTCACTATTTGACTAGCTCAAGTATTGTACTTTTATTCATTCAGGAAAATGTCATTTATTGCTCGCTGCTTTCATTTTTAATAACTTTTTTTGTCCAAAACAAACTTTATCTACAGTCACTCAAAATGCACATGCCGGTAACTTGCTGGCAAATGTTTGACACCTTAAATTAGGGATGCACGATATTATCGGCATGGTATCGATTTTGGCCAATATTAACGATAAAGTTAAATATCAGACATCGGCCATTCCATCAAAGTAACTCACCGATGTTATGACATCACGTGCGCCATTGAGTTTAGATTTGTGAAAATTTACTAATTTGCATTGTTCGAGTGTTGCCTTTGTGTTAGAGAGAGTAAATGTCATGAATAACTTTGATATTAAACCTAATCCAAGTTGAAGTGTTGCATCATTTTCAGCCCACTTTTTGGCATCTGCATTTGGTAGCAGGTCAAATTGACAAAGATCATGCAGAATAATGTAGTATTTTAATTCCACAGCAGAGAAAGCTATTTAGTCTCTGTAAGTAGGTCTAGGGGAAAAATTTCGGTATTTATATCGGTTATTGGCCAAATAAGTTTTAACATATCGACTTATCCGATATCGGCCGAAAATCCCATAGTGTGCATCCCTACCTTAAATCTAAGTTCTGAACAAATGAATAAAAGCTCAGTACTTGATTTTGCCCAATATTGAGCCAGCTTCAACGTATGAACGTTTTATAAATGAATAATGCTTTATAACATGTTTAATTACTCATGAAGAACCATATTTAAAGCATTAATAAACATTTATAAAGGAGCCCGTATTAGGAAATGTTAAAGTTTTTGAAGCACATGATCTAGTTAATGAAACTAAAATACAGCTAAGATTTTAGATTTTATAAAATGCAGTTATGTCACTTTATCTCAGCTGTCGGTAGTTCTTAAGTACCGGTACTGCCTTTTTGGCCCAATAATTGATCAGAGGCAGCACAATACAGAAAAGTCTATTAAATCATTTGGCTTTAGTTAAATTTGTAATAAAACACTGTTTTTGGTAATAACTTTCACCTTAAAAACTCCATTCACATCATTTGTTGCTTGCTTATTGGAATGACAGATAAACTGTGAGTTCAGACACAAAAATTATAATTTTGTGTCCAGGATTGATAACTTCTTTCAATACAGAAGAAATTAGCCATTTTAAGTATTTAACCATGAACGAACTGTTTTTTTTCTATACATTATCATTTAAAATTTTAGATTTTGAGGCCGTTGCTATTTATTCCCTTCAGTTTTAAATGCTGTGAATACCTCACCTTGACATGTTCTGCATGTGTATATTCCACCACAAGCTTCAATCCATCTTGACCATTACTTCCAGTGGTGATAATTCTGTGCACTTCAGTCACATTAAAGACGATTTCAATTAGATAAAAATAAAAAATAAAATCCCCACAAGAAGGCATTTTATCTGTGCAGAAGGATTTGGGGACGTGAATATTATTTAGCTGAATTCCCATGTTTTCAGAGTCAGGATATGGTACGCTTATAGTTTCCATTAAAAAAAATAAATATATAGAGAAGCGGATTGTTCTGAAAGTTTGTCTCCTGTTGCACATTCCATTATCAGAAATCAATGTGTGCATCTAGCTGTTGCTGGCTTGTTACCGTACTTGGGTTTCTGTATCTTTGTAAAAAGAAAAATCTATATTTTGCTCTCAGGCACATTTTTAAGCAGATCTCACTTAGCATATGTAGATTTCTAGCCTTTTAGCTCTCTAGCCTCAAAAACCTTGTAAATGATGTATTTCTAACATGTAACTAAGCTAACACATGCTCATTCTCACAGGGAAAGTATACTGTGTCCACCACCCATTGCCTTTTGTCCTCGTTTTTATTGAGCTCTTCTCGTACAATCCAGACAGCAGTGAAGAAATCTTCTTCAGTCTCATTGCACTATGGTGTGTTTTGACAATGACTTTGGGAAGTGTCTTTTAACTATTTTATTTTTATTGTTTTTTTGTTTTGTTTTTTTGCCAATGATACCAAAAGCATCTTGAATCGCTAAATTGAAACTTTTGTCAACTTAGAATTTGCTCAAAAAAGACTGACAAGCCTTTATTCTGCGTGCCAAGTTAATTTCTGACATCTTGCCTTTTTGTTTTAACTTCCTAAACTGTCCGTCCACTAGTTGAAAGTCTCATGTAAAAAAAAAAAAAATCTTCAAACAACTCAACTGTTTTGAATGTTCGCACTAAGTGCATTGTATTGCCTGTTTAAAAAAAAAAAACAACTTTTTATTACTCAAGCATGTATCAGTTTGTAATACTTCAGGATCCCTGTATATGTAAAAGATGACCTTCTAGTGCAAACATATTTTACTGGTGTTTTGAGGACAACTTAATGGACGACAAGGCGACCAGTAGAGCTGGCCTGGTTTGGATAACACATTCCTGTTCTTTAACATGCTGCTGCCGAGCCGCCGCTTCAGAAATGGGGGGTGGTCTTCAACAGCAGCGCATAGATGTGGAAAATCCTCACTTCCATCACTTAAATATAATTTCGAGTTATAAACGAGTTCAGGGTAGGAGGCTCAGAAAAGTTTCATTTCTGTATATTTTCAATGAAGGGATGGCAAATTATTGGTATTCAGTCTAGGCCTTGAACTTTATTTTATTTTTTTCTTTTACAATCTGTACAGTCATATTGCTCAACCACTGCAGTCATTGTTAATTCTTGTACAAGTTGTATCACTGGTTGTTGTACCATATCTGACATTTGTAATTATGAAATAATACACTGCCATTTGTATTAAAAAAAGAAAAATTGTCTTGACTATTTTTATGGGCTGAAGATGAAGCAGTAATAATGTTTGTTCAGGTTCAAGTTTATGTTCATTCGCATCATGTGGTACATGAGGTGGAACGAAATTGTGTACTCAAAGTTCCAGTTGCACACAAAAATAGCAATAATTTAAAGTATAAAAATAAACTATATAAAGGTATAAGATACACGCTAAACAATACACTAAACACTAATAATTTAATATATTAAACAGCAGCCTGAACATGAGTCTGTAGTGAGTAGATGGGTATGAATGAATACAGCAGCATGATATCAGCAGCATCACAGATATGTCACAGATCTCCAATTAAATGGGCATTACAGTGATTTTCCTGGTTAGGTATTCATGAGTCTTAACAGCTTCAGGGTAGAAGCTGTTCCTCAGTCTAGTGGTTCTACACTTCATGTTCCTCAACCTCCTGCCTGAGGGAAGCGGAGCAAAAAGTGTGAGTGGGGTCCTTCATGATGCAGGTGGCCCTCTTCCTGCATCTGGAGGTGTAAATGTCTGTGATGGTGGGGAGACTGACTCCAACAGATTTCTGTGCAGCCTTCACCACTCTCTGCAAAGCTTTACTTTCTGCAGCTGTGCAGCCTCCACGCCACACGTTGATGCTGGAGCACAGGATGCTCTCCACTGCACACCTGTAGAAGGAGGTGAGGACTGAGCTTCCCAGACCAGCTCCTCTCAGCCGCCTGAGGAAGTAGAGCCTCTGATGAGCTTTTTTGATCAGGCTGGTGGTGGTGTTGCTCCAGCTGAGGTCATTCAGGTGCACACCTAAGTACTTGTAGCTGGAGACCACTTCCACCACAGATCCTGCTATGTTCGGTGCGGTAGGTGTTTATTAGGTGTTCTTTAAATTCAAAACTAGTTGGTGGTTATGGAAACTTTAAAATAAGAAATAGAGATAAAACAAGCTTTAACTCACTTTAACCTTGTTTCTGCGCTGGTTTTCTAAACATTTGTTTTTACAATACAAAACAAATGACGGGGTCTTCACAAAATAGTTGAACCTAGAGAAAACGACATGAATAACCCAAAATTACCTTAAAACAATTAAACTAGTTTGTTAACAAAAGTTTACATTGTTTGATTTGATGGACTGCCTGTCAGGATCTTTAATGGTTTGTCTCCACCAGTCATAGCTTTGTTTTTTGTGTTTGCATTTTGTTTGTGTTTGCGTGTTTTTGAGTTTGCATCATACATGTGTTTGCTGCGTGTTTTGCCGTTTGCTGCGCGTTTGCACCCGTCGGCCACCGTAATAGCTCGCCTGCACACATGAGCAGCACTCTGCTGACTGCTTGGTGTTTTACCGGCAATGGAGGAGGGGGCATGCCAAAGACACCATCTTAGCACCAACATAACTGGTTTGTTCCACTTTGGACTAAGCTGTTGGGGGAAGAATCAGTTTTGTTGTGTGCTTCCTTGACTTATGAAGCCTTTCGGATCTAAGGCGAAACATTTCAGAAAAAAAAAAAAAAACTGTCCAGATGACCTGACTGAAAAATGGAGCTAGGTTGTTGAGGGCTTTATTTAAACTAATCAGTTGAGTTCTGTTGTGACGCGTTGTCCCAAGCTGCTAAGAAATGTGAAGAAATCCACAGCTGCTCACCAACAGCATTAGGTAACTGAAACAACCCGATATCAACACAATTAAATTATGATTATAAATAGAAAACAGCATTTTTTTTTATTTTGAACAGATTGTAACCGTAAAACAAATAGTTTAATTTAGGAAATATACTTTCAGTTTAAAATGGAGCAGCAGGCACGGTGCAATGCAATGAAGGACAGTACTGTACAGTATATTACAACAAACATGACTTCAACTAATGGATATTTTTACAAAACGTTGCCTCAACTGTATATTTATGTATTACAAAATCTCAAAGTAGGCATTTTAAATAAACTAAAACAATATCTACCAATGTCTCTCACAGCCTGTTTAAATTCTGCTCAGTGTCTGAAACAACCAGCCGCTTTTTGTGCTCTGTCTACAGATTTATCCAGGTTTCCTTGTACAAAAACAGAAAACATGACTTGCAACGAAGGCATGAGGGAAAAATTAGATTTCTCTCCACAACTCCATTCTGAAACTTATTGATGGTGCCAGTTCGAGAGGAAACGAAACCAGATTACTTTCCAGTTTCAGCAGGTACTGTGCACCTGCACTCAGCTTAATAAATCTTTTGTTCAAATCGATAGATTAGCCTCTCTTAAGCCAATACAAAATACTTTTCTATGGGATTAGGCCTAACTGAACTGGTAAACTTGTTAATAAATTTAGTTTTTGTCCATGCCATCTCCACAGAGTTTGGACTCGGCAGATATTGGATAATTTTCCTGAATAAATAAATGACCAAATATAATATTTTTGTCTCTTTTACTCTTTATCTACTTTTAGGACTTGTGTGAAAATCGGATGATATTTGAGCTCATAATTATGCAGAAATATAGAAAATTCTTAAGGGTTCACAAACTTTCAAGCACCACTGCCTACATAAGCCTTAGTATTTTCAAAAATATAAATAAAGTTGCCTAAGCAACCAAAATATGAAAATGGACATGTTCTTTACAGGTTTTTATGACATTTCTGATTCAAAATTGCCTTTAAATGTTGCAAAACAACAGCACTTCCTATTATTTGGTTATGATGCCATCCAGATGGTGAAGGAGATGAGCAGGTTGAGCAGAAGCGTCAGCGGCGTCATGCAGTCCAGATACAACATGGAGCTCACTCCACACGCAGCAGTCAAATAGGTGCTCATCTTGCTGAACACAATCTTTCGGACAGTGGTGCAGAACTAAATGAAAGAAACAAACATTAGGTGACGTTGTAGTAAAGCACTGAAGTTCATGCTGGCATGAACTGATGCAAGATGGAGGTATTTGCTTAAAAATAAGTATAATTAATTTGAATTCAGTGAACTGAAAAAACAGTTTGTGTAAACGTACTCAAACGCTC